CCAAGTATAAGTCCAGACTTGGCAGTACATAAGTTAGCTGTGGATCCAAAAAAGAAGCCGGTCAGGCAAAAGAAACGGAACCATGGAGAAGAAAGAGGCCAGGCGGCTGCTGCCGAGATTAAAAAACTACTTGATGCAGGGTTCATTCGGCAGTGTTATTTCCCTGACTGGGTTGCAAACGTTGTACTCGTGAAAAAGCCAAATGGTACCTGGCGCATGTGTGTGGACTACACAGACTTGAATAAGGCGTGCCCCAAAGATAGTTATCCATTGCCCAAGATCGACAGTCTAGTTGACTCTACAGCCGGCCACGCCTTAATGAGTTTCATGGACGCCTACTCTGGTTTCCATCAGATTCCTCTATGGAAGAAAGACCAAGAGAAAACGGCCTTTGTCACAGATCAGGGCCTATATTGTTACACGGTCATGCCGTTTGGTCTAAAGAACGCCCCGACCACCTTCCAGAGAATGATAAACACGGTCTTCTTTGACCAAATTGGGAGGAACGTGGAGGCGTACATAGATGATATGATTGTGAAGTCCAAACTCCAGACGGCCCATTTGGCCAACCTCCGAGAAACATTCACCACACTCAGGCGGCACCATGTTATGCTCAATCCCAAGAAGTGTGTTTTTGGAGTTGAGTCTGGGAAGTTTCTCGGATCTTTTATCAATCAAAGGGGTATAGAGGCTAACCCCGAGAAGGTACAGGCGGTCATAGACATGCAATCGCCCCGCACCGTCCGAGAAGTTCAGAAGTTAACAGGTTGTCTGGCGGCCTTGGGAAGATTTCTCAGCCGGTCAGGCAACATGTGCCTTTACTTTTTTCAGGCAATAAAGAAGAATGCTAGGTTTGAATGGGGACCAGATGCTGAGGCGGCCTTCCAAAAACTAAAGCAACATTTGCATTCGTTACCAAGGCTGGTCAGCCCCTTGCCCAAAGAATTGCTCTACATGTATCTAGCAGTGTCTGACCAGGCTCTAAGTGCCGTCCTCCTTGCTGAGAGGGACGACTGCCAGCTCCCGGTCTATTTTGTCAGCCATGTGTTGAAGAATGCCGAGTTAAGGTACCCCTTAGTGGAAAAATTTGGCCTTGCCCTCTTCATGGCAGTTAGAAAATTGAAGCATTACTTCTTGGCACATTCGGTAGTGGTATACACAGATCAGCCAATCAAGCGGCCACTGACAACCATGGAGTCGTCAGGCCGAATGATCAAATGGGCAATAGAAATTCAGAGCCTTGAAATTATGTTCGAGCTGAGGAAAGCTGTGAAGGGACAAGCATTTGCTGACTTTATAGTAGAGATGACTCGGCCCTCTGATTCTCAAATTACAGACCAAGTCTGGAAGGTTTATGTGGACGGGAGCTCCACTGCAAATGGTTGTGGTGCAGGCGTCATATGTTAGTCGCCAGAAAGCGACAGGTACGAGTATGCTCTACGTTTTAACTTCCAAGCCTCGAACAACGAGGCGGAATATGAAGCTTTATTAGCCGGTATCCGCATGTGCAAGGCGGCTGGGGCAAGAAAAATAGACGCCTGCTTTGACTCACAATTGATAGTAAGCCAGTACAACAGTGAATTCGAAGCAACCCATCCGGCCATGATTAAATATTTGCAGGCGGTACGACAGCAGGCTGGGTCACTTGAAGAGTTTCAATTATCTCAAGTACCCAGGTCCGAGAACAACCAGGCGGATGCCCTATCAAAACTGGCATCTTCAGCCTCCTCTGACACTCAAAGGACCGTCTTTTGGGAGGTCGTGGAAAAAAGAAGCATTGAAGAAGAGCCTATTGGAATTCTGGATAGAAGTTCAACCTAGATGGACCCAATCAGGGCATATATAGCAGACGACACCTTGCCGAGTGATCAATCCCAGGCGGCCCTGTTGAAAAAACGGGCGTCCAATTTTGAAGTGTGTAAAGGGGAACTTTTCAAGAAAGCCACATAATTTTATCACAAAACTGATATATGTGTGCCAAGCAAATATGCAGTAGTGCAACGCATGGGTGACACTTGAAGACCCGAGTAGCAAACTATCGTGACGGGACTGCCCCTTAACAATAAATTCAATACCACTGTATGTATCAGATACAAACTGATGAAAACAGATACTACACTTGATCTTAGCCAAAAGGTCAAGAAAGGTATGATTTGCTTAGGTTTAGGTACCTCTATTTATTTTCTTGCATCATCTATTTAGGATCACCAACTCCATAAATCTTCCCAATTCTACCCAAACAGAACTACAATCTGCAATTAGACAAAAGCAGGATTAGACATGCTGCAAGTCAAAATAGTGAGCGAACAGATATGGGATTGTGTTTTACTATGGATAGAATAATTCTCACATAGTACTCATGTATGTTTGCACCCCAAAAAGAGTTTTCATATAAAAATATATGGGTGACCTTGGCTTGCCTCCGTCATACTTCTCAAGACATACCATGTCTTATGCCTTAGAAATTGCAGATGAGTTTATCATTATTAACAGATATAGCAAAAGATGCAATCCAGCTCAAAATACAAGGACTATTTAATGAAAGGTCGCCTTAGTGTACAAAAAATGACTTCGGCACTTTAAACATTGAAGGTTTCACCATTTGACTTGTTCATAAGCAAAGAAATCAGAAGCTTCTGTGCTGCACCAAGTGTCCATGTATTCTTAGCAATGGAACACACCTAAACCTTTCTTATAATTTTTTTAAGAAAAAACATGGAACAAAACCATAGCAAGCAATTAAATAAAATGGAACCTTTATGAAAATTGACCCTAAAGAATTCTCAACAAAGTTCCAGTTGGTAGCATAATATTAACAGCATACCTTTTCTTGTGAATGATTGATTAATGAGTACTTAAGACTTGGTTTTCACTCTTAAGAGGTGGTATGAAAATAATGAGTACAAATTTCCAGTTGGTAGCATAATATAAAATTATAGATTATAGATGTGGAATGCAAAGATAATCCCACATCACTGAAGTAAAAGGCGCCAAAGTACAACTCTATATATATGTTTCACTCTTCTATGGTATACTCCACGCAGCCATGCAGTGAGCACAAAGCGAACTATTCTTTCGCCTTTTACTAAAGAATACCGTGTGCTCGCTGCATTAAGTGGCAAACGTTTATTTTTGGAGGGAGTTCTTCAAAAGGAGCTCCCAGCAAATCAAGTTCAATTGAATGAAGCAATGCATAGCATAACCATTGCCTCAAGTAGAGCCTTATAAGGGAGTCAACTATTCTAATATTTTCAGCATCATTCCAATCAGAAGCGTAGTCATTTAGATTGCGTACGGGTTTTTTTAGTCATTTAGACTGCGTACGGGTTTTTTACATCGCTCCAGTACCAAAAGCATGTACTCCCAAATCCCAATGTTTCTATAGACCTTCATGTATCAAGGGTAGCCCTAGCTCTTATTATAATATAAACAATTGTATCTATCTCATCCAAATGGTTCAATCCCATCATTCTATTAATTAGTGACACTCCTGCCTCAAATTTTCATCCTATTGGACCTTACACCTCAATGCGAAGTCCTCTTACCATTTACTCTGTATTAAATAAAGAATACCATCATAATATAAGCTTTAAATTTAATCTAGAAAGGCGACAAATACCAAAAATTTCATAATTCAGGATACACGTGAAAATGGATGCCCAATAATTCCCGTCTTTCTGACTATATGCCACATGCCACAGACGTAACATAACGCATCAACCAACTGCCTACACTCCACGCTTAACTAAATTGACCTCAGTAGACAAACAATTCCTTATACCATATTAACTTTGTGATAATACTGATCAACCTCTACAGCCCTTTTCGTCCACATCAAGGAGTTGCTGCTAGACTACTACCTACTAGTTGTAAATATTTTTGATATGCTAAAGTGCCCTGCTGTGAAATGCATCTCTAATTGGTAGGCACAGTGCATATCACTTTTATTTTTCCAGTAACAAAACCTGTCACCATCTTCTTGCAGTACGTCACCATCTAGTAGACAAGCATACTGCTTGTCACAATGACCAGTACAATGTAGTATAGTTATCAAGAAGACCATGCAAGGATTGGCATGCAGAATTATGATGTAGAGATAATATACATTAATCTACCTGGTAGGTATATAAATCTTTCGATTTTAATATCTAGTAAAGTTAGTAATAAGTCTAAAGCAAATTCAGGATTAATCATTTCCCGCAAACTAAAATTAGAATCACCCATCAGCAAGACAAAGATACACGAATGAATCAATTATTCACAATATACAATCATGAAATTCAGCTTTGCAAGGCTGGATCTTGTCCCACATCAATTAGCTAACAAGGGTTGTGTGAAAGAGATGACTATAAAATGAAAATGAGTATGAACAGACAAATTACTTACCTGGACGGGGTCAATGGGCGATCAAGAAGGCTCATGGCCTAGGCCGGTGGCCTCCATTGCACATTGGGAGGGGTGCCTGCCTAACATCTTCCCAAGAGGAAGAGTGTACGTCATAATTTGTGAGAGTGGGGGCCTGCGTCCGCGCGGCCCCTTTACAATTCTCAGTTAAACAATTAGCAGAACAAGGGCAATAACTAAATAAACTGGGCAATTGTTGAAAGTAAATTTGACACATACCTCTACACTGTTGGAAATTAGTGAAGCTGTTTCAGCAAGTTAGTGAAAATAAAAGAAAAGCTCTTTTGATAATGATATAGCACTATTGAGGTACTAGATTGACAAGCTAATACAGATAAGTCATGCATACGTAGGACAAGTTTCAGAGAGTAATTAGCTATCTTAGCATAAGTGAGGTACTAGATTGACAAGCTCAGCCTCACCTATAGCTACTTTTAACTGATGGTAAGGGAGTTTCAGTCAAAAGTAAAATCAGAGACCATCCAAGTAGGTTGGAGAGGGAAAAACTTACAGTCCCTGGGATACACAAGCATAGTAAAAAGATAAACAAAAAGATGCTATATTAAATTAGAATACACACCACACAATTAAGGACAAAAAAATTTGGACCATTTCTCGATTTGTGCGTGTCATCCTTGCGCAGGGGCCATGCTAATCTTCTCTGTATCGTTCCAATTTTATCAGATGTCTCCTAAGAGACAATGGTTTAAAGACACAAGAGCATTATAAATAAAGCCTTTATATCATTATTTTTCAATGTGGGACTATAAACATTGCTGCATTTTGCAGCCCATAAAGCTTAATCTCCAGAAACCTATTAAATTTGTTACAGCCAAAACATCTCATAGTGCCAAAGCCAACCACAAATCATTTCTATCCAATCTTCTAGGTCATCTATCAGCCGAGAGTGGCTTCCAAAAGGTGTTCCTTTTTCTAAACAAACCTCACTTAATACTTCACCAAGTCTCTAAACCAATAGACAACAACAAGGGAAGTTGAGCTAAAAGATTTAATTTTTCTCCTACCTGCCTTAACATCTTCAGATTCTGGCACTTTTAAGTATTGAATGATTTGCCAGCAAACAAACTGGACCTGTTGTAGCAAAGATGATCACGCATTTTCAGTCCAAGATGAAGCATAAGTAGAAAAATATTGGAATGTTTTCAAAATTCAAATTATAAACCAAATTGAAATTAAAAAAAAATGCATATCCCTTCTTTCTGCCAAGTAACAATCTGTCAATTAAAAACCAGCAAAATTCCAGAAGATTTCAGTAACACCAGTTCCTAAAACAATGCCAACAATTATCTCTACAAAGAAATTTAACAAAGCATATCAGTAAAAGGCAAAGGAGTTTACTGGAACTTTAGTTTGCAAACTCAAATGTAAAACCACGCAATACAGACATAAATCACACAATGAGAAAACAAGACATACAGACATAAAGAGAAAGCAACATCCAGCAAATGGTACTGTCTCGGTAGAATCATTCCCCATAAGACAAAAAAATAAAAAACACTAACATTTCTAGGTTTTTGCAGATAGTATTCCCCTGTTCTCTGGAGAGTAAATTATCACAGTAAGATGTAAGTGACAAACACAACCATCCAGCATCAATCAGATTCAAGAAAGAAGAAAACTAGGAATTTGAAGCATAAATAACGTTGTGTGACCCTTCTCACAGCCGTGCAGTCAGCACAGAGCAAACTATTCTCAAAGTGGACTAACAATTTAAGAACGCCATACATGGGTTTAGAGAAATAAAATCGTTAGTGGTGCATTTATTAAGAAAACAGACTGCAGGAGAATATAACCTGCTACAAGGATCAGAAGAACCAAATGGAGCGAAGGGACTAATGTTTGGACTATATCTCAAAGTGGCATCACAATTGTGCAAAAGCAAGGATACTCTTCATTGTTCCCAGTTTCATATAAATCTGACTGTGAGTCCAACAGCACTCATGAGAAAGCAATATACTAAGATACCACAAATCCTTTTTTATATTCTTACCAGCACCAAGACCTCTGCACTAACTATTAGAGCACATAATCTGGCCACTTTCCAAATTCTACTGAAAATGGACAGGAGAAACACATATTTGTTATTTCCACACAAATATTAGCCACGCATTCCATCCAATCAGAAAAACAAGTTGTGTATTCTCACATGAGATCGGAACTCATTAATAATTGTTTAATTCTCTCACGGAACCAGAAATTTAAGCGGCTTGAACTAAGATTTCTTAGTTGGATCTCTAAGAGCAGTAGAGCAAACTATTCTTTCACCTATACTAAAGAATATTATCTGCTGGCCATATCAGAAGATTCAGCTGTAAATTAATTAGGAGAGAAAACCAGATTATTTTACCAAGTATTGGTGGGGTGTGCCAGGCCCGTGCAGTAGTGCAACGCATGGGCGACACTTGAAGATCCCAGTAGCAAGCTACTGTGGTGGATCTTCCCCCTTAAAAAATAAATTTAATATCGTTGTGGGCCATTGGCCCACGTATCAGATATTAAACTGATAAGAACAGATACTACACTTGATCTTAGCCAAAAGGCCGAGAAAGGTATGATTTGTCTAGTCTAATCTCTTGCCTTTTATTTCCTGAAGTTGTCATACCCTCGTCGCTTCTTTCCGATGTGGTACATCACTCCATAAATTGGGGTTTTGTTTACAGCAAACTTCCATCATCATTATTAGGATGTCTGAAGTTCATGGTTAACTAATGTATTAACAATAGAGCTAGAGGTCATAAAATCTACTAGTAGTAGATTTGGTGAACAAATGGAGAAAGGTCTATATCACACATTAATAGTATCTAAGAGTAAAGCTACACAAATCTAAAACATATCATACTTCCATTTTGAACAAATGGATACTTGTTTATCACACACAAACATCAGCTAGTAGTAAAGGGTGCATCCAGTGGAACTTCCCCAGATTTCATGTTGACAAGGTTTATACTTGAATTGTTTTTATTTGGGCTATTTGGCGCTGTAAAAGAGCATGCAAAAGTAAAACAATGAATCCCCAAGCCCAAATCATAACATCTTTTAATAATCATGTGAGTTAAACTGTTTAGAACACCACATCTTGGACAAATCTCACAAATATGTAAGATACAATAAGCTAAAGACTTTAATATAATCAATTCAATAAACAAAATAGATTGAGTTAAACAAATCAAAGGCACTTAAACACTTAGAGAGTGACTGGTTGAGTGTAGCATATTTTCTAGGAAAATAATTGTCATCCTTGCGTAGGGGCCATGTTAATCTGCTGTATATCGTTCCAATTTTATTGGATGTCTCCAAAGAGACAACTTTATTGTATAGACAGAATAACATAAAAAAGTGTTTATGTATAATTAAACCGATGTGTGGGACCAAAATATTTTAATATACTGCAAAGGTATACAGAAACAATACAGATGCAAATGCACTCAAGTGTACGAAAAGATAAGACCTCACAATCATTAAATAAAACAGGTTTCAGAGATTCATGATGCAAACGGTAGCCAGGCCTCATTGGATCATCAGCTGAAAGGTATAAACTACTTTAAGTCATTACAGATTTGATTTCTTTGGCAAAATTCAAATGAGTATGACATAATCAACAATAGGTATTGATTTGTAATTGAACACTTTATTTTCACATTGATGTAGCAAGATAAGCAAATTGAACCCTCACCAAACAATCAGTGTTAAAGGATTATGCAGCACAAAGTTCACCTTCCTAAAAATCTAATGACTTTGGTATTTCAAGCATCAGATGATTCATCATTTAAGCTTTTTACAGGCAAAGAACTTCAAAAAACTGTGGCAGATATTACAAGTCCAGTTCATAATGAACAAAAATCACAAACATTGCCTATAATTGTTTTAAAAGCGTGAAATAAGAGCCAAGCAAGGAAAAGGATAGGACCTTTTTGAAAAGGGGCTCTAATTTGGCAACTTTTTTTTTAACTTTCTGTCATTTAGGCATAAGGAGCATTATTATCTTTCTATCATAAACTTGACAGTTCATGTTATGGTTATTGTTATGGACTTATTTTTAAAATGAGAATCCTATTATCATAATCAAAAACCTCCAAACAAGCAGCAACCACAAACGCTCTCCAATAACTGAATAATGTAATAGTCAGTTACTAAATAAAAAGAGCAAATACCGGGAACTAATGGTGCCAGATCTCGATCCATTTCTTCAAATTTTACTTCTTATTCCACCTTTTATTTGAAATCTTCAGTCAGCTCAGGTGCCTTATGAAAATTAAGGAGAGCCCAAACAAGCTGCAACCACAAACCCTCTCCAATAACTGAATAATGTATAAAAAGAGCAAATACCGGGAACTTATGGTGCCAGATCTCGATCCATTTCTTCAAATTTTACTTCTTATTCCACCTTTAATTGGAAATCTTCAGTCAGCTCAGGTGCCTTAAGAAAATTAAGGAGAGCCCAAAGATTATGATAGTTCTTCAACCTGACATTTACCAGCAGGAGATATATTAACACAACTCTCCTAGCAAATGAAATTTGAATAAATTGTACTAGTCTACAAAATACTACTACAGTTAAAAGCTTAAAACTATAAATTGTACTTGTCTACAAAGTACTGCAGTTAAAACTGAACAGAATTTCAGTAAAACAATTCATTTCTATAATAATAAATTATTCTGGCACTACAAGTACAGAAGGATTGGCAATTTTTCATCTGTTTGAAAGAAAGAAGTCCGAAGTTCTTTATGGACGATGCCACACCAATATCAGTTCAAGATGGAACAAAATCACAAGCACATTGTTTGAAATACTTTTCAGAACATGAAAACATTCAGAAACAAGCCATGTAAGCTACCAAAAAAGATCTCTTAGTGAGGCCCAAAATTCAGCCCACATATGGAGAAAATTGTTATAGCAAAGAGACAATCACTTTTATGTATTGGACTCAATATAGCCAATTAAGTATGCAGCTCTCCTATTACAAACTAAGAAGCTTCATAAAGTGCAACTGAGTAGGCAAAACTCGCTTTCAATTTCACAACACAACACAACACCAAGACATAGCCATGAACCCATAACACATGAAAATCTGAAATGATCAAAGTGGACCCTTAATCAGCATATCACAAGTGACCATTATAAATAGCTAGGATCTTGCTAACGATCGGTCGGGGCATTAGATAACAATTTAAGATATTTCTTAAAATGGTATTAATTTAGGAATGTATGCCGAAATCACGCATCAATTGGTGTAATTTATGTTCATTTCAATTTAATATTTATGCTTCTAGTCATGTTATCTAACACCCCCAAGGCGTTAGTTAGCTTTTGCTGAATAACTAACACCAACAATTAAAACTGACCATTGGCGGTAAGTCTGATGCTTTAGAAGAAAGATGGGAAAAGCTCCATGTGAATGGGCAAGATCTATACTAGCATACTTTTCTGCCCTATAATGCATTTCTTATGAGAAAATCGGTCTGATAAGGCAGAAGACCGCCAGCCATATACTTGTTTTTCATTCAACAAAATGGCTTATGACCATTACCCATAATGACAATAAGTATATCAATTACAACTAAGATCCAGTAAACTGATCAACATAAAATACAGTTAATGATAAAGGATAGAAGATAGTACATCAAGGATTTTATTCTCAATCCTTGCACTCAACAAGATGCTGACAGCTTAAATATACGGAGTCAAGTAGTGGTATTTTTTAATCAATACAGAACAATTATTTTCTTAATCATAACATAAACACACCACTCAAAGTAAATCAGACCCAGGATCTCGTAGAAGTATAACTACGTGTCCTAAGGGAAGGACTATCATGAAAATTTTCCATGTTTTAATCCAAAGGGAAGTGTCAAACCAAATATGACTATGTGTCCCAAGTGTTGGACTATCATGAAAAATTTCCATGTTTAAATCCAAATTGATGTGTCAAAGGTCATAACAAAGTACCCATGTGGCCATGCTAGAGCATTGAGAATTAACATAGGAGATTAGGAACCTAAGGTGAAATGAAAGGTCCAAGCAACGTAGACTCCACCAGAGTAGTACAAAGTAAGTTCCAATCATAGTAAGGTTAAACTAACAAGACTATAAAATAACTCCCAATTCTAAAACTAAAATCACAACTCTTGCTTTTCTAAGTAAACAAAATCAGTCGTTACAATGAGTACTCTTAATATCAATAAAGTTCAAAATGAGAAGCCAAGTGTATGCCTTTGATTAAGCGTAGAACTTCTTAAGTTGGTCTAGATTAGTTAGGCTCCGGAATTCATTGCCATCCATGTTGACTGATTGTGGCACTCCTATACTGATCTCATCAAGTGATTACATTAATTTAATTTAGGTTTTGGATTATGTATTAGATGCACCTTCCAATTAATATAAGGATTGCAACAGCAATCTCGTTTTACATAAAGATTCAGCTAGCTTAAGTGATTAAGTCTATTACGGAGTAACCACATACATGCACACAAACTCAACAAAGCCCTGAATTGTATGTAAGTATAGGAACCTCGTTACTCAGGGGTCAAGGCCACATTATTCTTCTAGGGAGGAGGCTTGACATGCACCGTAATGTCACATTGGTTATATTACTAACATACCAATATGCATACAAACATTTGGAATCACAAATAGGGTGGAATAAATCAACCAGAAAATCAAATTAGAGCTCGGCCAGTCAATACTTCATCTCCTTTACAAAATTGATAAATAAATCACAGTTTTAACATTATAAGCCCATATCCCATATATCAAATAAATCAATATGGGCACAATAGGAGTAGTAGTCATCCCTGATCCCCACTAACTACGACCTGAAAAAACCGAATTAATACGTGATTGTGGTTCATTTTTGCCTAATCTAACAATATTAGTTAGCAATTGCCGATTCGTACCCATATAGTAATACTAGGAGATACTAGTCAGATTATAATTTTAAAACATGCTATAAATTGTTGCATAATGTTTACTAGGGTTTTGTCACATATTCACATAGATGATGTATCCGATGGAGCAGATCATCAAATGAAGGGAGAAAGTTATTTTTTTTACTTAATTATTTCAATAATCAAAATTATAATTCATCCTTCACTTCATACTACATGGTTTTTGAACTTTGATGTACTTTAAACTCAATTCAAATTGCAATTTTCACATATCTCATAAATAAATAAAGTAATGTTAATTATCTATAATTACTAATAATTTAGTGTGCTCAATAAAAGGCCAAAACTGTTTTGTAGGAAAAAGGCCATAAATTTTGGGGAAAAATAAAAGAAAAATAAAATTAAAACTCAAAAGGTAAAATTGAGGACAAAATGCCATTAAATTAACGAACCAAAACAGGGACGAAGAAAAAGGCAGTGGATTACCTCAAGCACAAATGATGAGTGAAATGGATGGCTTGTAGAAAACCGTGTAAAATGAGGAGAAATCAACCCCAATTTCTTTATATCAGACAAAATTAACAAGCAAAATGAGTTTATTTTTATCTAAGATTGTAATTTATCCCTTAAAATTTTAAGTATGATCATGGTTTAGCAGGATGACACTGCAACTACTGTGATTGTTTAGTCTTGTCAAATATCAACGCAATGCTCGAGAGCAAGGAAACACTAAATGGGCAGAAATTTTTTATGAGCCAAAGTCAAAATATTACAGTAAGTATAGGCCCATACTTAGTAAAGTCCATACCCAAATTCTTTTTATTTTTTTTTATTTATACTGTTATTATTATTTTATTTTTTTAGGAAATCATACTGTTATTATTGATTTTATATTGTTATTTTTTTATTATTTCAACGCGATGAAGGAAGAAGAAAAGAGGAAAGAGAGGATTTTTTATTATACTATTATTGTTGATTTTACACCGTTAATGTTGATTTTATACTTTTTTCGCTCCTTGGTATGCTCCATACCTGGTAGTGGTCCAACCTCGTGATATTACATTGTTACTAGAACGACAATGAGGAAAGCAGATACATTATAATACTGCAACACAATACAAATCGGACACGAAAACATCGAGTTAGTGGCAAGGGTTTCTGACATAAATAGTTAAGCAAGTCAACACAACACGACACGACATGTTTATTAAACAAGTTGGGTTAATGTTGAGGTTTCCAACCTACTCCCTCCGTTTCGCGTGTTAATCGCAACAATTTATTTTTACATCCGTTTTATATTAATTGCAACACTTCTATATTAGAAAGAACCTAACATTATTTTATAATTTCTCTCTCCCACTAACCCTACTTTCACAAATATTTTATTATTTAACTTTCCTACCAACCACACTTATACTATTATTTCTCTCTCTACCAACAATACTTTATATTATAAAAAATCCTCTTTTAGGCCCAACCCTATAAAATTTTTTTAAACTTTATAAATACCCTAGTATTGCAATTAATACGAGTGGAGTGAGTATTTAACTTCTAACACACGAAAGTAACATGACAAGTCACGTTTGCCAACTCCATTATATTCTCTCTTTCAAAAAATATACCCTGATTTGGCTGAGCACCTATGTCAATGCAGAATTTATCTAATAATATCTCATATAACTACTTTATTTCTTATAGGTAATGATATAAGACTATATGTAGCCTTATATATAACATTAAATAGACTTCTTAAAATGGTATAAAGTTGAGAATTTATGGCAAAACACACGCGTAATTTGGTGTAATTTATCTATGCTTAATCCTTTTCCTTTTAGCTTCTTATATGTTTATCATTTTTCTTTTCTTATAAATCACTGACATTATTCACTCATTTTGAAACGGAGGGAATACTCCCTTTATTTCTAAGTAACTTGAGTAGTTTACTAGTAGACGTTTATATATATATATACACGGTAAGATACGGGGGGGGTGCCCTTCCTATCACATGAGGGGTGGGGGTGAGGATCAAACCCAGGTCACTCCTAGAGGAGATGGAGGGACAAACCGTCCCTCGTGATCATCTTTCGACATCATACATACATACATATATATATATGAAAATATAAATTAAGATCAATTCAAATTTAACAGCATATTATACGATAATAATATAGTCAAGGTAATTTGAACAGGTGTTGCAAATCTTCATAATCTGCCTCATTAGGAGTTACATATAACATATCTTTTGTGTACTCCCTCCGTCTCTTATTTACATGCCTATTTCTCTTTATTATGTGAGTAATAAATGTTAGAAATAGGCATGTAAATAAAAGACGGAGGGAGTACCATCTTAGCCAAATCAAAACTATTCTACAAATGAGTAGTGTTTGATAAATACTCCCTCCGTCCCATAATATAGTTCGTGTTTGTGTTTTTTCATGGTATTTAAGAAATAGAAAAAGAAAGTGGATGAAGTACATTAATAAAAGTGAAAAGTACAATTATAGACAAAAGTTAGAAGGAGAAAGTGAAAAAAAGTATAAGGCATGTGCAAAATTCAAGGGTAATTTAGAAAGTA